TCATTTAAATCATTAAGAGAGCATTTTTTTGTGGAAGAAGTAATGATTAATTCTCATCTCATTTCAAATACGAGTATATACTTATACTACTATTCTAAGTGTTGGAAATGTAAGTCAAAAACAATATACCATTTTGTTTTTCAGTGAATACTGCTTAAATTTAAATTTGAAAACAGTCTAAGTACCTTATTGGAAATGGTGTTTCAAAGTCCATTGTAAAGTTGATATTTACCCATTCTAGAGTAAATCTGTCAATGAAATGTCATAGTATCAAAGCTAAGTGTTTAATATTTGTCAGACTTCCGTTCTTTTAATTATGTATGTAATTGATTCAAAATTCATTTAATATGCTTACCATGAGCTGAACGAATCGAATTTATGTGAAATATACAAAAATAGGTAAAAGTAAAAAAGCAGTGTACACTGAAACTGTGCAACTTGTTTGCGCTTTTCATGCATTTAATAAACCATTGGTTGGTACAACTTTTTTAAATTTGTGGATAAAAAAAAAAAAATTATGGTACGTGTTCCATAAAAAGCCACAAAACCACACATTCAATCAGAAATCGCGGACATAGTGCTTTTTTATGTATAGTTTTGTTTCACGAGGCAATTAATGACAGCCAATAAGCTGGCTTATATCCTCGATCATTTCAAATACACGTATATAAATAAGATGGAAAATGCACAGATGGTGTATAGAAAAAATGGATATAGGCCGGTCGTTCAAAATTGCAGCATCAAACGAAATATTTGCTTGGGAAAATAAATTTATTGCTGTGTTTCAAACATTTTTTATAAATATTGATTGCATTTTATGTTCGTATACATACAAACGTGTGTATTTTTTAAACTTTTAATTGGGTGTTGCATTATTTTCAAAATAATTCAATTATAATTTATGGGCTTAGCTTTTCAGTACAACTGAAAGCGGTGTGCAGCTGACTTTGAAATTGTTATTCCTCTTCCCCTCTGCTGAAGAAAAAACGATTTAAGCTCCTGCTTTTAACTATTAATTAAAAAACAGATGAATAGACAATTATTGTGATATCTCAGTTTTTTCTATATGTACATTGTAAGTGTTTAATTAACTACTTGCTCGAATGAATAATGAATTACTTATTAAAGGCCTTTAATTCTATTTTAATTGGTATGTGCTAACGAAAATAGGGCGCAAATGCTAATTACATTTGTTAATTGAGGAAAGCTTAGATATTTTTATAAGATATTAAGTCTCAGGATAATAAGATTAATTTCAAAATACTTGGCAGCGGTCCATAATTTGTTTAGATTTATTCATTTGAGACATCCATCCCTAACAAAATAACTAAAGCGTTTAATACACTAATCAACGAGATAGTTACGCTATTCATTTATATCAGTGATTCATAGATGTTGCTATATACCTTATAAATATACCTTTGAATGCATACATATTTCAGTTACCGTATAGGAAATAATTTTACAGTTAAACTTGTAATCGATTCATTTATATACTAAGAACTGCATCCTTTTCCCCATTAGGCCACAACGAATTTTTCGACCGCTTATCAGTTTAGTCGTAAACACAGTCCATAGGAGAACCACAGCCGATGCAATCGTGCCAAATTAAAGCTTCATCCATGTACGAGTGTTTGCTTTTTCTGCCTATTGAAGCCGGGCACTCCACCATCAGCCTGAAATTCAAACAGTAAATGAATTCCAACAAGCATGTCGGGCGCACACCCAGAACCGTCTAATGACGCCGACGGTGACGCTGACGCTGACGCCCACGTTATTATATAATTGACTTTATGATGCTTTGCTATCTTTCAGTTTATCACTTCAGTTGTCAATGAATGATTATAATAATGTCTAGTTACATGTAATACTGATGATGATGATGTTGTAGTAGATGCCTGGCCTTGGAGCAATTGTCTGTCGCATCACCATGTTAGGTGATGCTGGTGTGCAGTTCAAGAGCAGTCTCGAAGCTTGTATTATTATGTGACTGGATATCGGATGCGCAGTTTAATATAGTTTGATCATATACTTGTATGTAATGGTTTTGAGATGCAACCTTCGCTTGATGCGTTTGAAATATATGCTAATGCTGCGCATGACAGCATTGCGTATGCGTAATATTTGCATTTGTTGTCAAAATTTTAACGCTAAAATTGATGTGCGGCGAATACAGAAAAATATACCTTTCACCACATTATGGGCGTCATTTCCACATATTAGCAAGTTAAACAAATGTTAAGTTTTAATAAAATAAAAATGCTAAAGCTTGATTCAATATACTAGAGTTTGTGGGTGCTGTGTCAGTGTGAAAAAGACGCTTTGTCGTGTTTGCTTTTTATTTTGTATATTTTTGTTAACAAATTGATGAGGAAACGAACACAGTTGCCATTTCTAGCTTTTTTCAACAACAAATTTAATGCGCAATTTGGGTGTCTTAAGTATTTAAACTGTTTAAAATGCTCTTCATATTTTCGCTTTTAATCAAAAATTTCATTGCTTTTTAATTTGTCCTGAATGTAAAATTCGTCATTAGTTACATATTATTTATAATTCATCAAGGAGCACGTAATATTACATTTTAATTGGAAATGAAATTACATTAAATTAAATTCCTTAGAAATTGTATATTTTAAAAATCGTGTTACAGATTTTACAATCAGATATATACTACTTATGCGTAATAGAAATAGTTTACTTACAGATCACAGTTTGATTTATTTTATATAGCCAAAAAGAAAATGTGGACTTAGTTGCATCAATTATCATAAAAAAATATATTTAAAGATATTGTGCATCGATATTTATACAAGTATTTATTATAAAGCGCGCAGTTCCAATGCATATGCTAGTATACGTTTTGTAATTAGTCTAACTACTGATTTAAATGTAAATCTCGAATTTCGAGCTGACATTTTCGAAGTGAACTGTTTAGTTTTACAAAATCTGTGTCAGCTACTAATTAGAGCTTCTTTACAAACACACACACACACACAAATACACGCTCGTACAAGCACTTAGCAAACTAGCTAACAGCATTGCGAACACTCACACACACAGACACACACACACACACTCGAGCAGTGCTCATGTGTAACTCAATTTGACATCGTTTTGTCCGCACACCCCGCCCCCTCCCTCCCCAACCACTACAACGCGATGAGAACACCGATCTGAACACCCAGCACCCAGTCATGGCATTTGCTTTATGCAAAATTTATCAAATAAAGGTGTAAAAAGTGCGTTTATTTTCAGCATGAATATAACGGGTCTGCGAGAAAACACGTTAAAATGTTTATATATGAGTGGGCACGTATCACTGTGTCTGCCAGCGTGCATGTGTGGGTGTGTCTGTGTGTGTGTGTGTGAATATGAAATGGCGTTGATTGCTGAGCGGATGTCTGTCATGTCAGTGCTGTCATGTCTGACAGTCTGTCTGTCTGTCTGTCTGTCGCTCGTTTTTAACAATTTCAGAGCTCGCGAATATTTGACATATTTGTTGTTCTGCCAAATTTGAATATGCGAGCTTCTAAAATGCACACACATTTCCACACAAACACACACACACACTCACAGGTTTGTAAATATGTAAACTTTCTCGAACTACTGCCCGAGCTAACTATAGTTTGTTCATATCTTGAATTCTGGCACTTCCACATCTCGGGTGGATTTGTTTTGGTTTCTAATCGATTATTTTCACGCGATTTTTGCCCTCGCCGTTGGCTGAAGCAGAAATTCAATCCGTTTACTTGAAAAATGTATGTTTTGTTGATCCTTTTGGGTTTTGATATTGTGTTTACATGACGTATTTTTAATCATCTTAATGCCATATGTGTGTTGGTAGGAATATGAACGATAGAAGCGATACATACTATATATATACGTATACATAAAGAAAACAAGTAAAAAAGCTAAAGTCGGGTGTCCCGACTTTGAAATACTCTGTACATATGTTTACAATAATTATAGAAAATAAAAAAAACTTTTCCTCAGTTTCATCATATTTGAATTATTTTCTACATTTTAAAAGCTAACGATTTTTTGTCTTGATTTTAAAAAGGGTCTTTTTATTAAAGTTTTAAATTTCCACAAAAAGACATTTAAAATCAAATACTATCTAAAGAAATGTATTTCAAAATTCTATAATAAAAAATAAGATGCTGGAAAGCGGTGTATCCAAAAATGTGTATTGCTTGCTATTGTTACTAAATCATAAAGTATTTTCTTCCAAGTTCCTAATCATATGTCATGACTTTTTCTTACCCATTTTTTATTATATTTGGCCAAAACTCAAGGCACAGCTACTTGTTTTGATTGGTATTTTATCATGTCTTTTTTTTCGAAATTTAAGCTCCATTTGTTTGAGTTCGAATATCGTGTGTGGAAACTGGATCTGATACGAAGCCTGACAAAGCTTTAAACAGCATAATGCTGGCAATTAATATTTGTGTCACATACTCATAGCTACTTATGCGTATATTTGCAGTTGAAATACTTTTCGTTTTCATGTTTATTGAAACTTTATTTTGACTGGGATTAAATATTAATTAAAAATGTGTATGAAATGCAAAATTATTTGTATTTTCGTTTCGGCGCCTTTGTTGCTAGTGAGGCATGTACATTTAATTTAATTGATTGATTCATGCTTGGTTAAACATTTATTTTATTTATACAAACTGTTGATTGCTCCTAAAGAACAAATAACATAAAAACTCTTGTGTAAATGGGCAAAGATTTGCATTATGTTTGTTATGAGGAAAAAAAACCACAAATATTATTAATAAAATAGGCAAATTCAAAACTAAAAATTGCGTACATCCTGAGGTATTTAAAAAATGCAAACATACATGCAATAAAAAGGGAATACAATTTGAAATTTTATTTTATTTTCTTAAAGCCTACAAATCGTTAAAAGTTTTAACTTAAAACATTTGTATATTAGAAGTATGCTCGAAGTAAACATAGATCTCTGTCATATTTTAGTCAACATATAGAAACACAAAAAAAAAAAAAAAAAACAGTAACCTATCATGGCTATGGAAAGACTTTGCGGCTTCGATAAATTGAATTTGATGAAGAGCCATCACATGACATCCATGGAGTTCGGGGCCCATAACCTATCCTTGGCCACAAGCAACTTTACCAATCCGTATGCTCTGATGGCACCACGCTATCCGAACGTAAGAAGGAACGGATACATTGTGGCAATGCTTTTGTTTTGATTAATGTTTCCACAGCCCGACAACACCTTGCCCAAGCTGCTTCACGAGTGTCCTGAGGTGTGCAAGGAGATCGATCATGGAACCACCACCATCGGCTTTAAGTATCAGGGTGGCGTGGTTTTGTGCGCCGACTCGCGTGCCACTGCCGGCTCTTATGTGAACTCGCAGACGGTTAGGAAGATTGTGGAGCTTAACGACTATATGCTGGGCACAATGGCTGGATGTGCTGCCGATTGCACTTACTGGCATCGAGTGCTAACTTATGAGACGCGTCTCCACGAGCTCCGCTTCCGCCAACGCCTTCCTGTGGACTCCGTAGCACGCATTATGAGCAATGTTTCGTACCAATATAGGGGCATGGGTCTGAGCATGGGCATGATGCTGGCAGGCTGCGATAGCCAGGGGGTTAAGCTAATGTATGTGGACTCGGACGGCGTACGATTGGATGGCAATTGCTTTTCGGTGGGAAGCGGCTGTACCTTTGCCTTGAGCTATCTCGATACAAACTACAAATGGGAGCTAACCGATGAGGAGGCATATGACTTGGCACGTCGTGCTATTTGTCAAGCCACATACACTGACGCCTTCTCAGGTGGGACGGTACGTCTTTATCACATCACTCCTAAAGGCTGGAAGAATATATCCAACACAGACTGTAAGCAGCTGCGCGAAATATATGAGGCCGACAAAAAGGAGAAGCTCGCCGAGAAGGCTGCCCTAGAGAAGCTTTAAAAACCGTTGTTACCTTTGCATATATTTATTTGCAAATATTTATTTCGCGTTTCACAAGCCCAGTAGCATTTGAAACGATGTATAGTTGCATACCTGTTTGTTGTTTTCTATTACTAAACACTTTCCATCAATGATGGAAACCCAAAATGCCACAAATACTTACTTCTATATAACAAGCTACTAATAGCTAGACCAGATGATTTGGCGTTTATTATATTTGATATTGAATTTTCTGTTTTAATACATAATTAATTTAAATATCACAAATTTTTGTAACAAATTGTACAACCATTTCAGGTTCCATAATAATTATTTCTATTCCCCAAACCTTAATGCCTCTTTGGCTTAAAAATCCCCTCGCGTTTTGCATTTCTCGAAATTCAGATTTATTTTCAGTTATTTTTAAATAAAAATCCATACAAATTGTCGAAATACCTTAACTTATGGCTCATTATGCGAAACAATGCAGAAAGTTAAACAAAGCTTAAATAACAGCTTATGGCAAAGAACCAGGGGGTTTAATTTTTTGTTGACTGTTGCAGCTCCTGTCTAGATACGACGAAATTGGAAAAGTGATCAAACATATGAAAGATTATGGGCATAAAAAAGCGAAGCACATCAAATATGTTTGATATAAACTTTTAATGACAACCACCACGTGCTCGCAAAGCCGCGATGGCTGCCATTCAAAATGGCAACCGTACAAGCGATGGCCTCAGCTGAGAGATGAGAGCTGACGACATCGGAAGTTTGTAGAGGCGGAAAATCCATTTATCATTTGAGATGTGTGTGTGTATTTGTACATTTGTGTCCGTGTGTGTGACTGACAATGCAAAGAATGCATACAAAGGCATAACAGCAGGCGCTCGCAGACAAACTTCTATGGATAATATTTGCATGTTAAAAAAAACTAGAGCTTAACAATATTGTCACTTGCTACAAGAAATTTCTGTGCCACGAGCTTTATTTGTATTTGCACAGCACATAACATTCGCAACAGTGAATAACTCTATGCATGTACATACTTATATTCATATCCATTTTCCGTTCTGATTCCGATTCCACCCAGATTGATTATGAGTTCTTAAGTTAACAGTAAATGTGTTAAGTGTTTCTATCAGAAACCTATTTTATACGAGCCTGGAATGCGTCAAGAAATACATACAATTTGTTTTAGAAAATTTGGAAGAAAAAAAGGTTACAGATATGTATATTATACAATTATTGAGTTAGCTTAGTATCAGAATTGGGTAATACAAGTATTCTATTATTTTACTTTTCAAATTATCTAATACAAATAATCTTCGTTTTATTTTTCAGTAAATACAGTTGGCCATCAATTACTATCGAGTTCTCAAGTCAGAGACACTTATTGGTTGGCAGGATGAAAAATATTGTTAAAAATTTAAGATAAAAATAATTTTAATTTATAATTCAAAAACCTGCCTGCTGAATTACAAAAAACAGTCTTTAATCTTAAGCAAGTATTTTGCGCGTCAGTTTTGTGGCTTGCTTATTCCTAAATTTTAACATCATCAAGAGATTTTAGGACCAGATTTTTGGCATAACCTTTCGTTTCTGATTTGCGTATTTCCATAACTCGTATTTGAAAGCGGAATCTGTGATCGTATTTGTGCGCTGCTTATGTGCTGCTCATGTGTGCGTGAAACTGTGCCAAGATATGATGAGAAAAACAACAACAACAACAGCAGCAGCAGCAGCCCCAGAGTGAGGCATAGGCTCCAGAAAATGCCGATATCATATACATATTTGCATATCAAGTATCTGAATGTGTATACTATATACATGAATATTCATTTGCAGTTGCTGCCTCTGAATGATTCCGCTTCAATGCTGCGGCTGGGGCATCTCAATGCCTGCAATCAGTGGGATTAAGGCACATCGTTAACGAACTGACTGCCAGACTGATTCTTTGCCTGACGCTTGTTTTGTTTTCTCCACCCAGCCTCGAATGTTTTGACTATCTAAAGACGCGCGCCAGCGAGTTCAAAGGAATGTGAGTTTAATTGAGTGATTTACACAATTGGCAACAAGTGTTTATCTCTCCGTCTCGGTCCTTATATTTTCATGTGTGTGCCTTGTACCGCGTGCCGTGCCTGCAACAAATTCCATAAAGGGACTGAGTCATGTTCATGGGTTCAATGGGATTACGATATCTCTCGTCTCACAAAGCACTCCATAGTAAAAATCTTAAATGAGAACCACGTTATTCACCAATTCCGATTGATATTCCTGAATGTTTCCAATGACCATATGAGCGAAATACACTGCCGACAACCTAAACATAAAAACACTATTGTTGTTAAATGGACTCAAACAATTTTTTAAAACAAAGATGGGCTATACTAAAATAAAATTGTATTCAGTTTGTCAGTTGATTTCTTTGGAGTCATAATTCGTGAGCGTTGTCTGGTCACACTGCAGAATTTTAATGGAGCATTCGACCATTCGAAAAACTGATTAAAAATCCAAATTTAGTGAAAAGGTACATTTTTAAAATTGATGTTATTTTAGAAAGATCTCTCATAGCAATAACCTGCTACCATTTGTTTTAATGAACTTAAGGGCTTCGCAAATAATGGCGAAAGTCTAAGCTGTGGGATTTCTTTTCTCACATCGGCTGTTTGAGATAGTTGACGAAACAAGTCAATAATTGTGATTAATAGAACCGCTTTAGTAAATGACTCTCACGTATTAAACAAGGATTACCTGAAAGTAAATACTTGCCATATGTAACAGTTTTTATTTTTCATTTATTTGCCTACGTGATTTAAAGATGTTTCAGTTAATTGATCTCTATATTTTGTTTATAATCCTAGATTATAGAACACAAACAAGAGGTAATTACTATCCATCTGCAGTAAACTTTTCGCCAAAATTTCTTCTATTTCTCTGCAGAATCAACCGATAATAGGAGAACAATGTTTTCAGAAATATATTTGTACTAAAATTTCTTAATGAACTAATAAATTGCACACAAAAGACGTTGCACGAAGGACCACTCAAGTAAATACTTGTAGTAATTGACTCTTCTTATAGGATATGGAAAAAATTTACAATATTAATTTGTTTAGAACCTAATCAATGCCTAAAGCTACATTGAAGCGTTTGGCTTTAAATCTAGCTGCTCGTCATGCAGTTTTAATCAAAACTGGAAAAAAAGAAAGCTGCAATAGCTACAATACCAATCGCTTTTCCACGCTCCTCCTACACCTCCCAGAGACCACTCTAATCTTTGGTTAGCTTTTGCTCTGCAGCTGGTGCTGCGTTAGTTGCATGTCGAATGCAACCAAAATATTTAGCCACGAGCTGCGCAAACACAGTCCTGGCTGCCCACAACAGCAAAGGTAACAATCTAGGCAGCATGTGTAAGCGCTTTTTAAAAACATTTTGTTCGCAAATATTGAAATACATACATAGTCGTATATAGCATAGTATCGAAAGTTGTAAAAATCGTTTAAAAATATGCCAAGCTGGCCGCAAAACGCGTCTGTCATGCTGCGGCTTACCAAATGAAAAACGGACAACAGAACACGGACATCGAGGCGGAGGTGGACATTGAGACGGACATGGACAAGGATCCGGACAGGAGAGTGGGATTGAGACTGGGCGTGGATGTGCAAAAGTTGAAATTGAAAGGCAGACAATGCTCTGACAAACTGAATGGCGGTTTTTAGCGATATTTGCGAATTTATTGTTGCTGTAGTTGTGCGATTTCAGTCGTCAGTTCCACATATAAATTACAGTTTGACGCGATTTTATTGTCGCGGTTGGTCGTTTTGCGTCTTTGTTGTTGTTGTTGTTGTGGGGTTGGCGTTTTGATGGTATTTTGGCCAGTTAGCAAATATTGCACAAAATGAAAGCAACCTCGGACTTTTGCATATATAAATTGTAAATATTTTGTCACATGAGTTTCAGTCGGACTGCGACATTTAAAATCTGGGCTCTCTTTTTATACCCTGTACCCAAAGGGTACAAGGGTATATTAGTTTTGTGCGAGTGCACATGGAACACACAGAAGGAGGCTTGGTAGACCCCACAAAGTATATATATTCTTGATCAGCATGACAAGCCGAGTCGATATAGCCATGTCCGTCTGTCCGTCTGTCCGTCTGTCTGTCCGTCTGTCTGTCTGTATGAACGCAAGGATCTCCGAAAGTATAAGAGCTAGAATAACCAAACTTGGTATACAGATTCTCCTGAGACCGAGAAAGGACGAGTTTGTTAATTTTTTCTGATCCGCCCCCCCACTCCCCCCCTATTACTGATTTTCTATAACTCCCGTAATTCTTGGAATTTTGAACTAAAATTTGGTAGTCACATTAGGTTAGTAATTATATATCCGTATACCAAGTTTCATTATGATAGAATGATCGGAAAGAAAGTTATAGCCATATAACCAGGCCCAATGCACACATACATACATATGTACAAGTACACAAACACGCATAAGGCACGATTCTGATGTAAATGTAAATGTATGTATGCATGCATGGAATATTTTATATTTAATTTAGTTAATTAATTAAATTAATTTAGTTAATTAATTAAATTAAATTAATTAATGAAATAAATTAAATTAATTAATTTAATAAAATTAATTTAATTAATTTTTTGTGGGGTGGTACAGGGTATTTAAGAGTTGAGCCTGCTCGACTTTAGCATTCCTTTCTTGTTATTTGATCATCAAATGGGAGGTAGAAAGGAAAAGCGTCTTAAGGGGACTCAAGAGAAAAGAAACAGAAAATATAAATTTATTTGTTATCAAATGTTGCTTTCAAATATGTTCACCTTTTGTGTTCATTATTGCGTGACGAACAAAAATAATAAATTATCAACGAAACTTCAAAGAATTGTGAAAATGAATAATGAATAAGTGTATCAAATGAGCTTCCTAGAATCAGAAGCACTTTTTGCTTGGCTTTCAATTTTTGGTGATCAATATTATTATTTTTATCAGTGAGAAAATGAAAAGGCATCGCTACCCTAAGTGCCTTAATTTATTTATTAAGACTGCACAGTACACTTAGAAGTGTGGCTTCCCGGCAGAGCCTGCATTCATTTTGTGAAGGTGATATTTAACGATATAGTCCTCTTAATAGCTAACCAAGTTACTCAGCTAAAGAGGAAGCGCTAATCTGAGCGAGGAATAGCCAAATGGATTCTGAGTATTCCTATAAAGGTTGCTTCTTCAGTCTCAATCGCTCAGTCGCTCCAACTAAGTATTTTTATTTTTTTAAAGAAAGCATTATTCTCATAAGCTTCTATATTATTTTTATACCCTGTACCCGTAGGGTAAAAAGGGTATATTAGGTTTGTGCAAAGTATGTAACATGCAGAAGTAAGCATCTCCGACCCCATAAAGTATATATATTCTGAATCAGCATGACGAGAGAAATCGATCTAGACATGTCCGTCCGTCCGTCCGTCTGCCCGTCTGTCCGTCCGTCTGGATGAACGCGAGGATCTCAGAAACTATAAAAGCTAGAATAACCAAAGTTGGCATCCAGATTCTCCTAGGTCCGAGAAAGGACGAGTTTATTTTTTTTTTGGAATTTTCCCCCCCTTCCCCCGCTACAGAATTTCGTCAATAGCGTCCACATTTCAAATGCTACCTAAACCAAACTTTGCACACATAATTTATATATAATTGTCTACTGTTGTTCAAAATTTTATTCAATTCGGTCAATTCTCAGAAAAGTTATGAGCCAAACAAATTCTCGCCAGTACAACCTCCCCAAACTGCAGCAACAAGTTCGCTCTTCTTCTTCCTCTTTTTGCTGCTGCTATGGGCGCATATAACTCAGTGACGGAAGTTTACCTGGGTACAGGGTATTACACTGTCGGGCTTGCTCGACTGTAGCGTTCTCTCTTGTTATACCCTGTACCCGTAGGGTAAAAAGGGTATATTAGGTTTGTGCAAAGTATGTAACATGCAGAAGGATGCATCTCTGACCCCATAAAGTATATATATTCTGAATCAGCATGACGAGAGAAATCGATCTAGACATGTCCGTCCGTCCGTCCGTCTGTCCGTCCGTCTGGATGAACGCAAGGATCTCAGAAACTATAAAAGCTAGAATAACCAAAGTTGGCATCCAGATTCTCCTAGGTCCGAGAAAGGACGAGTTTATTTTATTTTTTTTTAATTTTCCCCCTCTTCCCCCGCTACAGAATTTCGTCAACAGCGTCCACATTTCAAATGCTACCTAAACCAAACTTTGCACACATAATTTATATGTAATTATCTACTGTTGTTCAAAATTTATTTATTCAATTCGGTCAATTCTAAGAAAAGTTATTAGCAAAACAAATTCTCGCCAGTACAACCCCCACAAACTACAGCAACAAGTTCGCTCTTCTTCTTCCTCTTTTTGCTGCTGCTATGGGCACATATAACTCAGTGACGGAAGTTTACCTGGGTACAGGGTATTACACTGTCGGGCTCGCTCGACTGTAGCGTTCTCTCTTGTTATACCCTGTACCCGTAGAGTAAAAAGGGTATATTAGGTTTGTGCAAAGTATGTAAAATACAGAAGGAAGCATCTCCGACCCCATAAAGTATATATATTCTTGATCAGCATGACGAGAGAAATCGATCTAGACATGTCCGTCCGTCTGGATGAACGCGAGGATCTCAGAAACTATAAAAGCTAGAATAACCAAAGTTGGCATCCAGTTTCTCCTAGGTCCGAGTAAGGACGAGTTTATTTTATTTTTTGGAATTTCCCCACCCCCCCCCCTCCCCCGGTACAGAATTTCGTCAATAACGTCCACATTTCAAATGCTACCTAAACCAAACTTTGCACACATAATTTATATATAATTGTCTACTGTTGTATAACTCAGAGACGGAAGTTTACATGGGTACAGGGTATTACACTGTCGGGCTTGCTCGACTGTAGCGTTCTCTCTTGTTATTAACATAAATTATGTATTTTTAATTACGTCACTTTTATTCCCTGTACCCGAACGATAAAAGGGGTATATGTATTAGGATTAAGCAGAGTATGATGGGAAATCTTTATCAGGAAGACTAGACAAATCGGTCTAGACATGTGCGCCCATCTGTCTTTTTGTCTGTCAGTATGGATGAACGCCATATAGACCAAACGTAGTATGTAGACTCTTTTGAGATCAGTGCATAGTAATTGACTGTCGGACTTGCTCATTTTTGCTAGATTATAAATAGATGACCTATAATTTGAGCTTGTAATCTAATTCTGGTGTCCCATTGATGTAAATGTGCAGCATAAACACTAAACTGGATGACTGGCATCATTCTAATAATGAACACCTTGAATGAAACCCGAAAATTCATAATATTTTTGTAAATTATTTCATGGTCAAATACTAAAAATAATCAATAATCACGCTACATCGTGTAATTTGTTTTATTGTGAGTAGAGTGGTCTCAATTGATAAGAATGCACAGCTTAGTCTAGCGAATGCCAACAAAAGGAAAGCAAAGTGAAAATGGAAAAAGAACGAATTGTAGACACCTTTTCAAATAAATTTATTTCATGTGTGATGATTAGTACTTTAAATAAGACTCAGAGGGTCCTTACTTTCCTCACTAGTAGAGAATGTAACATGTAATTCCTATGTAATTCCCAATATGTAATTCCTTTAATTTAAATGCTTGAATTAAAATCTAATTATGCTCTTGAACTGAGTGATAGAGAAAATGTCTCGAAGAAACTTAAATTGCAAGCAAGTGCAAGCAACTACTGTCTCTTAACAAATATACATATATTTATATTACAAAGCTAACAGTGTTTGTTAAAATTGCTGGCTCAAGCAGAATACAACAGGTTGTCTTACTTAATATAAATATAAATATGTATATTTGGAGAATATTATTTTCTAAGCATTGCAAAAATCATCACAGTTTTGGGATACTTGGATTTTAGTTAGGGTATCAAAACAAAGCAAGTGTGTTTTAGCACAGCTTCTAATACGCAGTAGCCATTTGACCAGCGCCAGAGCAACAACTGAAGCGTTGAGAAACATTTCAGAGTGGAATTATGAAGCCTACATTTTCAAAATATATCACAATGCGTCTTCAGCTGACTAATGTGTTCCAATTGCTGATCTACATGCGTCTCGCCTGCAGCTGCAGCAGCAGTAGTGCTAATACCAGATTTCAGGAGCTTCCCGAGGTTCACGGAACCAAGTTTTACTATTTTGGATATGGCAGCAATATGCTGTCCAGTCGCATACACATAAACAACCCGACGGCAGTGAAAATTGGACCGGCATTGCTGCACAACTTCCGACTGGACTTTGCGCAATTTACGCAGCGCTGGAAAGGAGCTGTGGGCACCATTGTCCCCACTCCAGATGCCGAGACGTGGGGCACTCTCTGGGAAATAGATCTCGTCAATTTGCCAGACATAGACAAGTAAGTTAAAATGCCAACCGGATCGTCATTAGATTTTAAGTTCTAAGCATGTTGGAGGCAAACCCTGAAAACTATTTAGGTTGCAAGCAGAGATGCAAATAATTTGCGCACAAAATTATTGAGCTTCCTAAGTACTTGTATGTCATGAATGAATTCACTTGCGATTGGAAAAATTTCTGTGGGACTAACATTTAGAAGTCTATTTGAAAAATATGCAAAATTTATTTGTGTAATTTATTGGTCTGCCGTAGTTTCATTCAACGATTTAGACAATATTTGGGGGTGACATACGAGCTAGAAATTCAATTACAGTTTTCAATTTTCGTACAATTAATTTAAAAATTTCCACATTCATCTTTATCACCTGATAATGAAAAGAATTTTTTGAATGGATATTGTAACAAATCTACTATATATGTTTATGGTTTCGTAACATGTCAAAACTTGGCACTAAGAACATTCAATATTTATTAATGGTAGTTAATAATAGTTACATTTTTTTTGTGTGCTTTAATCCTTATACTTGTATCTGGACAACATCCTATAGAACCGGCGAACCAATTAAATTAATTAATTTTGCTTGATGTTTTTAAAAGTCGAATGGTCCAGTCAACAAATATAAATGCATCATTCCGCCGAATTTTTGAGAGATTCATTCTGACACTCCTTTGTTTCTAGGTTTAGAACTGGTTACATTATCCATTGTGCAATTCTTCTTAGAGTCTCCTTTGTTTCTAGGTTTAGAACTGGTTACATTATCCATTGTGCAATTCTTCTTAGAGTCTAAGTGGAAATTGAGAGATTTTGTAGTCACAGTAGACTGATGGACATGCTTCTTTTTAAATTTCCAGTCAGGAAGGCGTCCACTTGGGGACTTATGTGCCATTGACTGTAAACGTGGAGCTGAGAAACAGAACAACATTGCCGGCGCGTTGCTATCACTTAGTTGAGCAGCCCGCAACAAATCTCCACAACATGGTGTGGGATCAGGTGCCGGATGCTCGTCAGCCGTCAAAGACATATTTGCAGTGTCTGGTAAAGGGCTCGATAGAGAGTGGCATTCCTAACGAATATGTGCAGTTCCTGCAGGCCATCAGACACAATGGACGAGTGGCTAAGGGCTTGGAAGAGAAGCTACAATTGGCGGCTGTTGAACTTTTGCAGCAGCAAGAGAAGAATCTATTAAATGGTGATTGAACGACCTTGACAAGACAATTGCAATTTGACTGATAAGTAGAATTAAATGAAAAGTGTTCCACATTTTAGCAAAGTTTACAACCTACCAAGAGCTTTTATTCCCCGCTGATAAGCAAAATTGTGGGAATAATTTCCACGGAGCTTTCAGTGAGAGTGCTTGCGTAGTACAAGTATATGTATAATTTTGTTTTCATTGTCAAAGTCAGCGGCACAGTTTAGTGTGTGTGTGTCGTTCGAGCTGCGCTCAGCGTGTGTGCGGGAGTTTGTAAACAAGACCAGACAAGTTTTAAAAACAACTTGTTTATTGTGCAAAATTCAATAAGTGCAATCTGTGCAATCTGTGACTATTAATTCTACATAAACGTTTGGAGTAGTGCGACAGAAGGTAAGTTTTATGAAATTCTTATCTTTTGTTTGCACATTAATAGTCATAAAACAGCTGTTTGCTTAAAAGCTGCGCCACATGTTCTCGGGCTTTTGGTTGCGAGCTTCGCTAAATTTAAACCAATTTCAATACCAGAAGCTTGTTCAAGAACTTGCTACTGCTTTTATGGTTAGGGAATTTAATACTGCTTGCGTGCAGACACTGCTTATCCTGACATCGTCAAATGCAATTGGGTTGTTAAATCGGTATGTTAATTTCCCCATTTGGGAAATTTCCTTTCAGACAAAAAGGAATATAACTGAATTTTGAATTGAAGGTAATTTCAGTAACAGACTCAATTTAAAATATAGAATTAATTGCATATATGTAGGTATGCAGTCCGGTCTGCACAAGGACTGAAAGACGAAAAGATATATGTATTAATTTGTCATCGCATCGGAGTTTTCCCAAAGCTTCACTTCTATAACACACAAGATTTTTAAATTATTATTCATAGTTTATTTTTGTTCTTTATTAAAAAAGTAGAGTAAATGTTAAAATAAGAATTGGATCCCATTCGGATGCAATGATATATAGAGTGAACCAATCAATATGGATATAAGTAAAAACTAAAATTGAAAATCCAATAAAATTCCTTTTAAGGGGAAAGCGGCTTTGTTTTAACGCTCAATAGGTACTTTGTTAAATTCACTAAAATAAGCAGATCGTCTAGATTATAGTTTTCTTTTCAGATGGCCAGCAAATTCTACTACTTTGGCTTTGGGAGCAACATGTTGGCCCAACGCATACACATACAGAATCCCACAGCTAAGCGAATAGGTGCGGGAAAATTGGATGTAAGTAAATTATTATTATAGATAAATTGTTGGTCGGATCATTGATCATTCTATTGGGGCAGGACTACCGCCTGGACTTTTTTACCGAGTCAAAGAATTGGTTGGGTGCCCCAGCCACCATCGTGCCAACACCAGGTTCGCATGTCTATGGCGCGATTTGGGAAATAGATATGTGCAACCTGAAGGACCTTGATAAGTGAGTCGTCCCGCATGTCACATGAACGCCCATTGTTACCTTTGTTTCCTTGGCAGTCAAGAGAGCGTACCTGAGGGCGTCTATATACCCATCAGCGTGCCCGTTTTCTCACTGACATGCAAAGAAAATATCGTTTGCCGTGCCTATCATTTAAGCGAGCAACCGCAAACGGATTTACGGGGCCTTGGCAGTGGCCTGATACCCTACGACCGACAACCCTCGCAAACCTACCTCAAGGTGCTGGTGAAGGGCGCTTTGGAGACCGGCGTTCCTGATGAGTATATCAAATGGCTGCGATCCATCAAGAATAACGGCAAGAAGGTGGACACATTTGAGAAAAAGCTGCAATTGGCCGAAATGACGCTCAGCTGATTTCTCCAAATCAACTGAACTTTTAATTCCAAATTAATATTTTAGAGACATGTTCCAAGGAAATAAATAATGCTGCGCATTAAATATATTTTATATAACAGACAACTTCACACTTCAATACTTCAATTTAATGGATCTTATTAATTCTTCGATATTGTTGTAATACTAGCTGAAGTCGCTGGAAATATAAAAGTAAGGCTTTCAATTTTAAACCTCAAACCCCAATCCCAAAGTTGATGCTGGTTTGTATTTCTTGGCTCATCTTGCTTAAGGAGAAAATTATATCTGACACTATAATTTTGATGATATCTTCATTTAGAAAATGTTAGCTTTCCTGTATTTACAAAGGCTGCCCTCTAAATGGTGCCTTAACTCTACTGTTGTGTGTTGTGGATCTAAAAATCCATTTCAAACGATACGAAATATTACAAATATTGATTGGAAAGGCCCTTTTCGGTATTGGAAGCTTTCATGTACCAGGGAGCAACAGTCAACAAGCGTAATGTTTTGGCTTGCAGGATTCGCATTTGCAACTATTCCTTCCTGTAAGCCCTATCGCCAGGAAGCAGCAATGCATGTATACTTTTGAAGAGCCAACTTACTTTGTCTCTCAGCGTCGCTATGTTGATTTGGTCACTTGGCACAATTGACTTTAAATATTATTTGTTAAAAAAAAATTTCTAAGTTAAATTTATTAAAACTAATCATGGGATTCTGAATTTTCTCAGGATATGTACTCTCTTTTATTGCTGTCTAATAATTGAATGCTGGAATTTTATGTAAAGACGATTACTCCGTAAGTTGTAAGACCATGGCGGACTGAGGACTGCATTTTATGACCTTTAATTCTGAAGAAGCTATAAGTTCAGCAACTCCTTGGCATGTACCCTGCTGTTCCAAGGAACCATTTGGGTCTCTTTTTCTTATAAAAGGAACTGTGTCTCCTATATACAAGAACTGGTTGGCAGAATTATTCTCGTAGTTATCGCTAGTTATCCTTAAAATGTGACTTACCTTAAGGCAAATATTTTATACAGTTTCATTTATTTTAAATAACTAACAATTAAAGTACAACAGTATAACCCATGTGTGACCCTTCTTCTTTGATTTCTTCAACCTTAGGAAAACATGAATTAGCAGCAAGAGCTAAAACGTTTCCGCCGCAAATTATTTAATATTTAGCATACTTTGCGGCAGTATTTAAAATTATTGGCAAATTGGCTTGAGCCCCAGCTGCTAAATGGTGGGAAGACTGGCTAACATTAAAAACAGTGTAGCATTTTTTAAGCGGACGAATTTAATTTTAAAAACCCCATCTTGCTGCTGGTTTATGTTCGCCTGGTACTTCAGATTTTGGATTTTAGCATTTTTAGGCGATTTTATAAATTTTAGGAAAGCCGCAGCTGCCCTCGAACTTAGTTTGCAAACTGGCATCTTTGCTACGTACTAGGCGAACATAATGCAGTAGGAAGATGATTTTTAAACAAATTTAAAAATAATTTAATCCAGGTTTCACACCATTTAGCAGCCGGACTTCAAACCAATTGTGAAGTTGGTTTGAGCCCCAGCTGCTAAAAGGTGTGAAGACTGGCTAACATTCAAAACAGTGTAGCATCTTATAGGCGCCGGATTTAATTTTTAATTTTGAAAAAAAAATTCATCTTGCAGCTGGTTTATGCTCGCCTGGTACTTCAGATTTTGGATTTTAGCATTTGTAGGCGATTTTATAAATTTTAGGAAAGCCGCAGCAGCCCTCGAACTTAGTTTGCAAACTGGCATCTTTGCTATGTACTTACTAGGCGAACATAACCCAGTAGGAAGATGATGTTAACACAAATTTAAAAATAATTTAATCCAGGTTTCACACCATTTAGCAGCCGGACTTCAAACCAATTTGTCAAGTTGGTTTGAGTCCCAGCTGCTAAAAGGTGTGAAGACTGGCTAACATTAAAAACAGTGTAGCATCTTTTAGGCGGCCGAATTTAATTTTAAATTTTGAAAAAAATTCATCTTGCAGCTGGTTTATGTTCGCCTGGTACTTCTGATTTTGGATTTTAGCATTTGTAGGCGGTTTTTAAAATTTTTGGAAAGCCGCAGCTGCCCTCGAACTTAGTTTGCAAACTGGCATCTTTGCTATGTACTAGGCGAACATAACGCAGTAGGAAGATGATTTTTAAACAAATTTAAAAATAATTTAATCCGGGTTTCACACCATTTAGCAGCCGGACTTCAAACCAATTTGTCAAGTTGGTTTGAGCCCCAGCTGCTAAAAGGTGTGAAGACTGGCTAACATTAAAAACAGCGTAGCATCTTTTAGGCGGCCGAATTTAATTTTAAATTTTGAAAAAAATTCATCTTGCAGCTGGTTTATGCTCGCCTGGTACTTCAGATTTTGGATTTTAGCATTTGTAGGCGGTTTTTAAAATTTTTGGGAAGCCGCAGCTGCCCTCGAACTTAGTTTGCAAACTGGCATCTTTGCTATGTACTAGGCGAACATAATGCAGCAGGAAGATGATTTTAAAACAAATTTAAAAATAATTTAATCCAGGTTTCACACCATTTAGCAGCCGGACTTCAAACCAATTGTGAAGTTGGTTTGAGCCCCAGCTGCTAAAAGGTGTGAAGACTGGCTAACATTAAAAACAGCGTAGCATCTTTTAGGCGGCCGAATTTAATTTTAAATTTTGAAAAAAATTCATCTTGCAGCTGGTTTATGTTCTCCTGGTACTTCTGATTTTAGATTTTAGTATTTGTAGGCGATTTTATAAATTTTTGGAAAGCCGCAGCTGCCCTCGAACTTAGTTTGCAAACTGTCATCCTTGCTACGTACTAGGCGAACATAATGCAGTAGGAAGATGATATTAAAAAAAGATTAAACATAATTTAATCCAGGTTTCACACCATTTAGCAGCCGGACTTCAAACCAATTTGTCAAGTTGGTTTGAGCCCCAGCTGCTAAAAGGTGTGAAGACTGGCTAACATTAAAAACAGCGTAGCATCTTTTAGGTGGCCGAATTTAATTTTAAATTTTGAAAAAAATTCATCTTGCAGCTGGTTTATGTTCGCCTGGTACTTCTGATTTTAGATTTTAGTATTTGTAGGCGATTTTATAAATTTTTGGAAAGCCGCAGCTGCCCTCGAACTTAGTTTGCAAACTGGCATCTTTGCTACGTACTAGGCGAACATAATGCAGTAGGAAGATGATTTTTAAACAAATTTAAAAATAATTTAATCCAGGTTTCACACCATTTAGCAGCCGGACTTCAAACCAATTTTCAAGTTGGTTTGAGCCCCAGCTGCTAAAAGGTGTGAAGACTGGCTAACATTCAAAACAGTGTAGCATCTTTTAGGCGGCCGAATTTAATTTTAAATTTTGAAAAAAATTCATCTTGCAGCTGGTTTATGTTCGCCTGGTACTTCTGATTTTAGATTTTAGTATTTGTAGGCGATTTTATAAATTTTTGGAAAGCCGCAGCTGCCCTCGAACTTAGTTTGCAAACTGGCATCCTTGCTACGTACTAGGCGAACATAATGCAGTAGGAAGATGATATTAAAAAAAGATTAAACATAATTTAATCCAGGTTTCACACCATTTAGCAGCCGGACTTCAAACCAATTTGTCAAGTTGGTTTGAGCCCCAGCTGCTAAAAGGTGTGAAGACTGGCTAACATTCAAAACAGTGTAGCATCTTTTAGGCGGCCGAATTTAATTTTAAATTTTGAATAAAAATTCATCTTGCTGCTGGTTTATGTTCGCCTGGTACTTCTGATTTTAGATTTTAGCATTTGTAGGCGGTTTTTAAAATTTTTGGAAAGCCGCAGCTGCCCTCGAACTTAGTTTGCAAACTGGCATCTTTGCTACGTACTAGGCGAACATAATGCAGCAGGAAGATGATTTTTAAACAAATTTAAAAATAATTTAATCCAGGTTTCACACCATTTAGCAGCCGGACTTCAAACCAATTTTCAAGTTGGTTTGAGCCCCAGCTGCTAAAAGGTGTGAAGACTGGCTAACATTCAAAACAGTGTAGCATCTTTTAGGCGGCCGAATTTAATTTTAAATTATCAAAAAAATTCATCTTGCAGCTGGTTTATGTTCGCCTGCTACTTCTGATTTTGGATTTTAGCAATTGCTTGGCTATCGGCCGAGCTGAATTTTTTATTTTTTATTAGTCAGCTATATGAGTCCATCCTATACCCAATCCCTTCGCCCCCTCACCTACTTGTACCATCAATAAAAATCATTAAAAATTTATTTTTAGGCCTTTTTCTTTCTTTTATTTTTAGATTCAATAAATGCATAACTATTGATGTAATTTAATTACAAGAAAGATTTATATTTTTATAAAACAAATAATCTGCTACCTAATGTTGCAGCTTAAGCTAGTTTTACATTAAATGCGACAATTGTCGACAGGATACATTTAAGGGATAAGGGACTTAAATTTTTAAAATTATACAAAATACAATAAGAAATACAATATTTACATTATTTTCAATTAAATATAGAACATAAGCTATGCTTAAATGTATTATTTAATTTAAGCAAGAGATCCTGTCGAAAGATCCTGGTACTGGCACTTCTTTAGTCTTAGTGCGCTAGGACGTGAAATAAACAGTTTCTGAATCAATATCTCTAGTGTGCATGTGTGAGGGGCATTGCATATTGTTCTAAGGATTCAACTTGAACTTTATTTGATAAGCACCAACGGGGGACGTTTTGGCGTATTCCCACTGACTGTTATTGGATGAGCTGAACTCTTCTATTTCGTTAGTCATTGAGCCTTTGACGCAGCAAACGAGGCGGCTTGTGTTAAAGATAGAGGCGGCGTCTTCGATATCCTCTGGACTGTTAATTTGCATGTACGGGTAGATTGTTCTATCCCGTTTCAAAATGTTTAATACAAGAGCCAGGTGTATCCGATCCTTTTAAACAGACAAATAAAAAGTTTTTAATGTAAATTTATAACAAAATACATAAAGTAATTTAACAAAATAATCACCACATAGAAATGAAATGAAAACAAATTGCTTGGCAACGAAATGGTTTAGTTTCCCGAAGAGTTCGATCTGGCATGATATAGAAAACCACTTCAAGCCTGCCTT